AAGAGTCTTTTAGTTTCTGGTGTGATTATAATTTGTTGCTAGTGTAGAGGGACATACATGACTTTTGTACACTGACTTTATAACTAGCACATTAAAACATCTCAGAAAGCATATAGTAAAAATTTTAAAAAATCCTCTTTAACAGTGTTCTCCAAAATTACTTAGCCACAGAAGAACTCCTTTGTTTTTATAGTAAGACCTAGTAAGATCTCATAAAACTAGTTTTCCATGGAACATACTTTGGGGAAATACAAGAAGAAATAAGGATTTACGCACACTATGAAATTCAACATTTAAACAAAGACATTTTTTAAAATGCCACAGGAAAGGTGTACAAAGCAGTACCTCTACCTTGCCAGAGATAGTCTCTTTGCTTTTACAGATCAGTTAACTCCCTGAGAGTCAACCTAAGATCTCTCTTATCTATCAGAAGCAGGTAGAGCAAGTCTCTAAAGGCAAAACCAACAACAATCCTCTTAAGAGCTATCTGTGAACAAGGTTTCAACAACTTTGACTATAGATTTCATTGGACAGTGACACACTGACACATTATAAGCTAGTATCTTTATTTCTGGAAAATCCTGGAGACATTACCTTGTGCTCTTGATGTCTATCCAGCAGGGCTTCAGCTCCAGCCACGTCATTGGCAAGCTCATCTGCATTTATAAGGGCTTTCATCTCGGTGACCCAGCTGGTGAGGTCACGGAAGTCAGCAAGAAAGCGTTGAAGCCTTGGGAAAACCAAAGATAAGTTACCAAGGCTTTGTCAATGGAGGTCCTAGGATGTATAGCTCCCTAAAGATCTGAATTCTATTCTCTGTCTCAAAAGTCTAACAATCCAGACAAACTCTAGTCCTAGGAAATACAGCATTTTCCCAACCTAGGTAGTAAAAGAAAGCAAAAGAAGGCTGACATTAGTCCTTTAAAACTTAGGTTCTGTCCTATAATGTTCAATCTTGTTCCACATTTTCACCTTCCTTTTTATTTTCAAGTTCAACTCCTGGTTAGTAAGCAGCAGTCTTTTCCTTTCCAATCCTTGATTTACTCAATTTTAACAGGCTATTTTACATGGTGCTCAGACAGCTTAGGGTATATTTCTATCTGTTTTAATGTAGTGATATAGAAGAAAAATATTTAGAGTATAATAAAGTTGCTGGTCTTCAAATCAATACAATACACATAAGCAAAGTCACCTACATTTTTTTAGTAGGTGAAACCTAGCAAGGCACAAAGAAATGTTTTTAGTCTACAGAAATGACCCTTAAGAGGGAATGACACAGGGAAGAGGTAACTATGGGGAAGAGGTAGGAAGCGAGCTGTTAAATTTTGGGCAACTATAGTCAATGTCATGAGACAATATGTGCATGAACTGCTGTATCAAAATGAATTTGCTCTGTAAACTTTCACCCAAATAACAATAAAAATTTAAGAAAGAAAGGAATGACTCTTAACTCATCTTCCCCTCATTTACAAAGAGTTAAAGGATGTGAACTGAACACTGGAGAATTATTTCTACCTGTATGAATCATTGAGACGTGCATGTCTCTCTGCTGCCAGAGTGCGGATCTGTTCCCAGTTTGTAATCAGTTCCTCTCGCTTCACTTGAATCTGAGTAGCACTCAAAGGGTGGGACTGCTGCAGGCGGTCAGCCTCAGCACACAAGGCTTTGACCTAGAAACATACTCTGTCAGAATTGCTCTCTTGATCCTTGGTAACATATTTATAGAACTAGCTGCTTTCAAAACCTACCTTGTCCTCTAAAGCAGCAAGATCTCTCTCCAAACCCTCATGCTTGCGAAGCAGAGCCTGAACACTTGCCAAGTCTCGGCCAAAATCATCAGAGGCCATTAACTGCTCCTTTTCCTTAATCCAACCGATAGTCTCATCCACATCCCTACAGATAAAGACACCAGTTAACCCACGGTTCTGATGATTCTCAAGAAGAGTTGGGAACGCCACACCAGGCCACGACCCAGTTGGCTATGGCATTTTATTAGCATTTGCTATATTCTTTATCAAGCCCCTTCTAAGTGGAGCTCATTCCTGGAAGCCCACTCTGGCTTATTACCTGTTAAAGCGCTGAACCTCAGCTGCCCCAAAAAGCTTTCCCTGTCTCTGAAGAGCCAGCCCCTTCAGCCGCTGCCAGGCTGCATTTACTTCATCCTGCTTGGTCTTAATCAGTTCCTCTTCAGGATGCTGCTCCTAAACGAGAAGAAGAAGACACTGAATTTGGTCATAACCTCTGGTCCTCCAAGTAGTTACCCTAGAGTAACTACTCCTTGAAGTAACTACTTTAGCAAAATCTCTACTCTTCTGAAGAAGTTACCCTAGAGTAACTAGCTCCTTGAAGTATCTGCTTTAGCAAAATCTCTACTCTTCTGAAGAAAATCAGTGATGGAAGACATTCTAGTCTTCTGTGTAAAATGAAGTGAATTACATTGTAGAAGAGCTCCTGGTTCCTCTTACACAGAAATGAGAGCCACTATCTATTCCTCGGAGTAGAGAGGCTAATCTATAAACAGTAAGTATAGCCTTTATGTTAAAACACCTCAGCTGCAACTCTGTGTGGTACCTCCATCAATGCAACCATCTGCCCAACTGCTTAAAATTGTGGTATTTCAAATATTCATGAGGCTATCAAGCATTCTTACCCAAACACATGGTTTTTAGGGCTCCAAGGGTTTGTTCATTTTTCCTAGTTTCAGACTAGAGACATTTCATTGTAAGTATTCTTTCCCACCAAGCACATTTTGTTTTAATTAAAAATAACATGTACATACAAAATAAAATGGTCAAGCATTGCAGCGTTCTTAGAGCCATTTATGAGATCATGGGTTTGGCTTGATTGCTTTTCTTAAGCACAATTTTGGGATGGCTCAGGATTTTAGGAGATGGCACATGTGTCACTGAGGAAGGGTGAGTACTTCTGAGCAATACTGGCTCTCTCTCTTCAACACTGACCAGAAAAGGTAGATATACTAGTCCTGAAGCAGACCATATATTTAAAATTGAATTTCCCTGAAAGTAACTCTAGTTTCTGCTACTTGATGCCTTTGGAGCACTTTAAACTCTGCAGTGGAAGGTGGGAGTAAAGAAGTAGCTTACAGAACTGCAAATTGTACATGTAGGCAATGAAGGAAGGTCGACTCACTCTGCTCTTAACGGGCTCCAGATCTACTTACGGAGAGTCTTTTCATTACAAAATTCCCCTAGACTCCTGAGAGAGCTCAAGGAAGCATCAAATCAAAAAGGAAAGGAAGAACAATCAGGCACTGGTGGATGTCTGCCAATCCTAAGAAAGCATTTATAGGCAGTCCCCAGGTTATAAACATCTGACCTGAACACAACCCACAGGTACAAACCTCCATAAAGCTTATAATATTTAAAACTCAAGGTATTTGTGATGGTTCACAATAATAAATGGGTATTTTGCAACACACATCAAAATACTGTATTAATGTATTATGACGTTAAAGATGTTTCAGTGTATTTGGAACTGTGTCTTGAATGCTTTTTATGCATAGAAAGGTACACTATATACTAAGACAAACATGTGACTGATTTTAGATATGAACTATACCTAACTGTCTTAACTAATGTACAAATTCAACTTAAAGACAGACCTAGGACAGGAATACATTTGTAATACAAGGATTGCCTGCACTACCACACCCTTGTCTGAGAAACTATGAGACCCAGCTTCAGTAGCCCAATAAAAGCTTTACCACAGCCTACCTGAAAGTGGGTGGAGAAAACAGATCAAATGAACTCTGCCCTTCCTGCTCATGGCAATAAGTTAAAAAGCATTCTCTAATTTAGGAGTAATGAGTATTGTTGCCCTACCTAGAGCTAAATGAAACTCTCAGACATGCCTATAAGAACTTGCTCACTCAGCAATTAGGGAACTGATCCCTGAAATTTTCTTCTGAATACAGCAGGAAGTTGTGAAAAGCATACAGAGCTAATTCTCCTCAGCTATTTACCTGAATGAGTTTGGCAGCAAACTGGTTCACTTCATTCACTCTTTCTTCATGGGCAGCCATATCTGTTTGAAACTCTTCAAATTTCTTCTGTAAAACTTCCACATGTTCCAGATCCTGGCCTAGCTCCTCAGACGTCACAATTGCTTCCTATTCAGGGATAACAAACCCAGAGTCACCAACAAACACCTGGTAACAATGGCTCCTAGAAGCTTACTGTGCAACAGACACATTAAAGGATGGGGCCATGTTAGCTTTAACAGATGCAGTCTTGTGTGTAGTCTGTGATTTCTCACAGTTAAGAGGTAAGCTCACAGCATTTCTGTCTTAAAGACTCCAGTTTCAGAGCTGCAGAATGGACCATACCTAGAGAGCAGCTGGAGATCAGCAAATCTACTTCTACCTCTTTTGCTTAACTGGCTGCATCAGCCACAAACACTGGCCCTTGGCTGCAGCTCTCAGAAGAGCCTCACTCTTCTCTTTCATTTAAGGCTTAGTGAACGTTTCTTCCCAAAACATACCTTATCATTGATCCAGTCCATTACATCCTCACATTCTCGTAAATACTGCACCAACTTCTGGGCCTGCAGCAGTTTAATTCCTTTCTCCCGCATCTTTTCCAAAAGTAATTCCCATTGGCGGTGTAGCTCCATCAAACGAGTCTGGAGATTAAATACCAACTCTATGGATTACAACCAGTTTTATGGGATCTGGCTTTGCCATAGAGTTCCATGAAGTCAGAAACTTCATGGAGCTCTAAATAAAAATCTTTAAAAAAGATAATCCTTATACTGAGAGGAAATCACAGATTTAACTGAAAGAAGGAAAAGTACACACTTCATAGTAGTTTGGTATACCTTAAAGTTACAAAATAACTAACCTTTCTATAGGTAGATTTATTCAGGTTTACTTCAGGAAAGTATTTCCTAAAGGAGATTCCTAGACCAGAAAACTATTGTGTGGGGAAAAGATGAGGATTTAACATGGGAATTAAGCAGAAATCACTGAAGGGTATATTCTGAATTCAAGAAGGTAAGTGGGGAAAAAAAATAAAACAATGTGGGTGGTGGTACAGTGTGCAAGTCTATACACATCATAAATAAAGAAATAATTATGAGGCATAAACAAACAAACAAACAAAAAAAACCCCACCCCAAAACACCTAGTTGTTGTCAAGTCAATTCTGACATACAAACTCAGTAGGGCAGAGTAGAACTGCCCCATAGAGTTTCTAAAGCTATAATCTTTATGGAAGCAGACTGTCACATCCTTCTGCAGAGTGGCTGGTGGATCTGAACAGCTGACCTTTCAGTTAACAGCTGAGCGCTTGACCAGTGCGCTGCCCGGGCTCCTTAAAGAAGAAAATCTCAATATTTTTAAATGTAGAAAAGATGGAATCCTGAAATGTAATCAACTATCAAAATGGATTCTTGACAGAAAAAGTTTTTAGCACATCTATGAAAAGATACAGTGTGTGATAAAATATATCTCAAGTTTATTTCAAACTTCACCTAAGTGGCAACCACTGGCCCAAGCATATTCACTTCCCAGCATCTTTGGGTTCTCATAACACAAGCCCAGTAAGGACTTATCAAAAAAATGGGTCAAATTGAAATAAATTCAAGCTTAGGTCTGCATTTCAGTATTCTAATCCAACCTCAATGCCTTGATTATGCCTACCCAAGATACTGGGAGTTTCTGTATTACACTGACAGACATAAGAAAACAAACACAAAAGGCTTAAACACTAACAGAAAAGTCTGGGATTCACCCATCGTTGAGATGCCAAGTCCAGCAAAATATACCTACTCCTCACTTAATGACAATCTCATTACCTGACATTTCACATTTACAACAACAGTAGACAATCTGACTATTTTGCACATTAATGACATACATCTGGCAGTAACAAATGCCAGGGTGTAAGGTGTGAGCTAAGAATAACGCTGGCTGTGATGGTTAAGGTTATGTATCAACTTGGCTAGGCCACGATTCTCAGTGGTTTGACAGTTATGTAATGATGTAATTTGGCAGTATGTAATAATGCCAAAAATCCTCCATTTTGTGATTTGATGTGGTCATCCTCCATTTTCAGTTAACGCTGATTTTTACATAATGACTTGGTGTTTGGAACCTAACCATGTCGGTAAGGTGAGGAGTAGGTGTAAAACCTTGAAAGCATGGGACAGTCAACATGGGTGGATTCTCTCAGAAACAAGTATGGATGTTTAACTGGAAAGGAAAAAGCAGTGAGTGGGGGAGGGCAATAAATGCTCACACAACTCATTTCTACCACTGCAATCACTTCCACTACTGCTCATTAAAATGGTAACCCACCACTGAGAAGGAAGTGAAAAGCATACCAAGGCAAGAGGGAAAAAGCAACCAACAGCAAATCAATACTCCACCTACTCGGATGTGGGACCCAATGTGGGTGGCGGTGACTATGGGACGCCATGCCGTCCGGTACGGTGTGAAAGTCTAAACCAGTGATAGACAGGTTATCCAGGACACATAAACAGCCTCTGCATTACACCCATCTTCCTCTACGTTAGCACTGCCTGCCAAACTGAATTGCTAACTTATGGACCAGATAAATAGCCAAGATCTCCATGGGAACTGCATTCATGAAAGTAAACATTAAATGAGAGCTCTCTGTTCGAATTAAAAATGAGGCCACAGAAGGCTAGAAAAAAACCTCATCCCTGAATCAATTGTCAATCAAATCAATTAGTCTCTCACAGATTTTATTTTCACACTTTCAAGTGAAGAACTAGGGCAAGGCCAGTTCCAGTACTGGAACACTCTTTCCATTTCTGGTGTGTCTGATCTTGTAAATATTGCAGGTTAGAGACAGTTCAGTTTCACAGGTTTACTATTATTTGAGAGTGTGAGTGGGCAGTGAGGGAGAGTTACTAGTCTAACCAAAAGGGGGAAGAAAAAAAAAAAAAAGCCCCTATCCACCACAGGTGCACTTAAACACACTGAAAGCTGACAGAATAGGGAGGAAATCCTGGTTCTGACTCAGTGGATTTCTCATTAGGGCTATGAGGGAGCAGCAGGAGTGGTCAGACCAGCAGGTGGAGAAAAACTAAGGAATGTCAATAGGAATGAAATGCAGGTTGGAAAAATAATTAAGACCGGAGAAAAGGACAAATTGAAATTCCAGCTCTGTCACCTACTAGCTGTGTGACTTTGGCCAAGTTATTCAAATGTCTTTAAGCCTCAGTTTAAAGATGAGGAAATAACACGTAAAATGCCTAGTACAGTGTCTAAGTGTCCATCTGTTAATAGCTATGCAACAGATAGGAGGAAGCAGTACTTTTAAATGTTGCTTTTATACACGGCTTCAAACCAATTCATCCTGCTTAAGGCTACTATGTAGTAGTATAACCAGGTTACATAAGGGGAAAATGGGAAACAGATTAAATGTTTGGCTTGTATTGTTGGTATACATAAGCACCCAGGGATCTTGTTAAAAACTGTAGATTCTGATTCAATAAATCTACAGTGGAAAGGCACATTCTCAGCAAAGGGTCAGACCAGACCAGTTTGAAGCCCTCCTTTAATTACGATCTGCAAATAGGGTAGAGAATACTTACAGATCTGGATGGAGATAGTGCTGGGTCCCCACCACCAATTAATTACTCAAGCCAAACATTTGATCTACTTCCCATGTTCTCCATCTGTAACCTAGTTATACTACTATAAAGCAGCCCGTTCATTCTTGGAACATCTATCAGGAAAATAATAAAGAATGCTGATTTCATTTACTAAAAAACCATATACAAAATAGTAGAAAATAAGCAGATATTAATTTATAAATATTTATCTGTAGAAATACATACTACTACTCAAATGGGTTGAATGTAATTAAAGAAACAGTTTTGTCATATGGCATTTTGAGTTTTCCTTTATTTCCTAATAATCATTACTAGTAATAGTAATACTAGTAAACGATTATTAATAATAAACTTAGGGTTAATTGCAAGTCTTTAAATTCTACAGAGTATAGCAGAGCAAAAGTGAGACAATTATTCAAGACCTTTAACTTGAAAACCACGAGAGTGGATCCTGAGATAATGAGACCTCCAAATCAAACAGCAGGAAAAAGTGGGAGATGAAACATTTCTGCTGGGGCTTAAGAACACTGCTTTTATCTAAACCTTCAGGACCACTCTGACAGATGAAAGGCTAGAAAAGGCTGGTGCCTCAATGGCACAAAACTAAATATGTACCTGAAGGTATAACAAAGAGACAAGAGCATTCAGTTGAGAAACTCAGTATGCATACCTCATCCTAAGGTTTGCTTTCCCTTACTACCTCAGTGGAAATATGCAACAAAGCAGAGAGCAATCATTGCCCCAACTACAATGAATTAAAGAGTTCGAGAACTCCTGCCTTGAAGTTAGTCCTATCACCATGGTCACTGACCACAGGTGATGAAAATCATTATTTATAGATGGACCTTAACTGGCCTGCTGATTAGAGCTCAGTAAAGCTCCTCTCAGGGCAAGTCACAGAGATTCAACAGCAAGCTTCCCAACAGAGAGCTCTATAGTGTTCATGACTGATCTTATTCTTGTATCTTAATCCCTAAATTCATCAATTATACCAATATGCTTTCCTATCTAATTACCAAGTGTTAGAGCTACATTTCCTTATTCTTGAAACTAGATTATAGTCACATTCTAGCTTGTTCTATAAAGAGTTTAATTTCCTCACTGAGTATTCAAACATTTGCTTATATTCATAGAGTCATCATATTATAAAGGCAGGATTTTGGTAACTCCTCTAAGAGATTTTGTAAGTTCTTTTAAGAGACTGAAGAAGTCTTTTTTAGGAAACCCAAACTGACATGGAAGCATTAACCCATGCCATCCAACCAGGCCCATACTCATTACTCACCCTTATGGTTTCAGATGCAAAATGTCCTTCTGAGATCATCAGGTTTCCAGTTTCATCCAGCTTAACAATGGCTCCTGAGTTGGCCTGCACTTCAGCTTCAAAGGCTTGGTGCTTCTGAAGCTTTCCCTGTTGGTGGACCATGAAGTGAGCCATAAAAATGCAATCCCACAGCACTCATCTTTTGTCTGCGCCCCCCCCCCACCGATTCTTCTCCTCCTTAGCTCCACCTCTTCCTATGAACACATCACTCAGCATGCTCATCCATCTCCCTATATGCTCAATTACTCAAATACTGAATGCATCTATACCGGTCCTCTGAAAGCCTGACCACTGAGAACCATCAACTTTGCCGATAGGAAGATGCTACAAAATATCCTAGTTTTACTGTCCATCAGGAAATTAGCCTTTATGTGACTATTTAATCCCTACTAGAAATATAGAACCATATCAACAGTTTTCTTAGCATGCAGTATTTACCCTTAAATAATCCATCCACATTCACTCATGAGACTGTTCAGCTTGCTTCTGAAGTCACACACTGTGATAGCTGGCTGGAGCTGTGTGTCAACTTGGCTGGACCACAATTCTGTGTGGTTTAAGCAATTGTGATGTGGATAGTTCCAATGATGGGATCAGATGTATATGTTTTGAGCAGCCAATCCATTGAAAGGGAGTTTCCCTAGGGGTGTGGCCTGCTTCCAATATATTTATGGACATCCTGGGAAAAGAGACACTCTTCTGCGGATCAGGATTCTGTTGTGCTGCCTACAACGGTCCATGAGCGTACAATCCACCATTCTGCCTGAAGAGCTTGCATTCGTCATTTGTTGGAGTCAACAGCCAGTATACTGCCTGCCAACCTTGAGCTCCTCAGCCCCTGCAGCTGCGTGAGTAGGGAAAAGCCTCCAGCTTGACGTTTGATCCAAGAACTTGGGACTTGCCAGCTTCTGTGTGTGAGCCACTCGCCTAAGATAAATTTCTCTCTCTATATATGCTTTACTGGTTTTACTTCACTAGAGAATCCAGTCTAACACATTTGGTACCGAGAGTGGGGTAAGGGATATTATGGTAGGTAAAGCCAAGTGGAAGCCATTAGAACTGTCTCTACCTACAAAAATAGTAAACCAAAAGCAATACCGCATCCCTGGAGGAGTTGCAGAGATTACTGCCACCATCAAGGACTCGAAGGATGCAGGGGTGGTGATTTCCACCACATCCCCATTTCATTCACCTATTTGGCCTGTGTAAAAAAGAGATGGATCTTGGAGAATGACAGATTATCATAAACTTAATCAGGTGATGACTCCAATTGCAGCTGCTGCTCCTGATGTAGTTTCACTGCTTGAGCAAATCAGCACATCCCCTAGTATATGGTATGCAGCTATTGATCTGGCCAATGCCTTTTTTTCCATACCAATTTCAAAGGACCATCAGAAGCAGTTTGCCTTCAGCTGGTAAGGCCAACAGTATACTTTCACAGTGCTTCCACAGGGGTGGATCAACTCCCCAGCACTATGTCATAATAATTTAGTCCAGAGGGACCTTGATCGCCTTTCCCTTCCACAAGACATTACACTGGTCCATTATATTGATGACATTATGTTGACTGGACCTAGCAAGGAAGAAGTATCGATGACTCTAGACTTATTGGTGAGACATATGCATGCTAGAGGTTGGGAAATTAACCCCACAAAAATTCAAGCACCTTCCACCTCAGTGAAATTTCTAGGGGTCCAATGGTATGGGGCATGTTAAGATATTCCTACTAAAGTGAAGAGTAAGTTATTGTTATCTGGCTTCTCCTACAACTAAAAAGGAGGCACATCTGGTGGGCCTCTTTGGATTTTAGAGACAACATATCCCTCATTTGGGTGTGTTGCTGTGGCCTATTTATCAAGTAACTTGGAAAGCTGCTAGTTTTGAGTGGGGCCCAGAACAACAGAAGGCTCTGCAACAGGTTCAGGCTGCTGTGCAGGCTGTTCTGCCACTTGGGCCATATGATCCGGCTGATCCAATGGTGCTTGAAGTGTCTGTAGTAGATAGAGATGCTGTTTGGAGTCTTTGGCAGGTCCCTATTGGTGAATTGCAATGCAGACCCTTGGGGTTTTGGAGCAAAGCCCTGCCATCCTCTGCAGATAACTACTCTCCTTTTGAGAAACAGCTTTTAGCTTGTTACTGGGCTTTAGTAGAGATTGAACGCCTAACCATGGGCCACCAAGTCACCATGAAGCCTGAGCTGCCCATTATGAACTGGGTGTTGTCTGACCCACAGAATCATTAAGTTGGATGTGCACAGCAGCACTCCATCATTACATGGAAGTGGTATATCAGAGATCAGACTCGAGCAGGACCTGAAGGTACAAGTAAGTTGCATGAGGAAGTGGCCCAAATGCCTGGTCTCCACTCATCACATTACCTTCCCTCTCCCAGTCTGCACCTATGGCCTCACGGGGAGTTTCTTATGATCAGTCGAAGAAGAGAAAATTTGTGCATGGTTTACAGATAGTTCTGCATGATATGCAGGCACCACTTGAAAGTAGACAGCAGTGGCACTGCAGCCCCTTTCTGGGACTTCCTTGAAGGACAGCGATGAAGGGAAATCCTCCCAATGGGCAGATCTTTGAGCCATGCACATGGCTGTTCACTTTGCACGGAATAAGAAATGGCCAGATGTGTGATTATATACGGATTCACGGGCTGTGGCTAACAGCTTGGCTGGATCGTCTGGAACTTGGAAGGAGTATGATTAGAAAATTGGTGGTAAGGATGTATGGGGAAGAGGTATATGGACAGATCTTTCTGAATGGGCCAAAGGAGTAAAGATATTTGTGTCTCATGTGAATGCTCACCAAAAGGTGACCTGGCAGAGGAGGATGGGATGACATGTTCAGTGGAAACCAGCCATTCTTTTTCCCCAGTTATTCCTGTCATTGCTCAATGGGCTCATGAACAAAGTGGCCATGGTGGCAGGGATGGAGGTTATGCATGGGCTCAGCAACATAAACTCCCACTTACCAAGGCTAATTGGGCTACTGCCACTGGTGAATGCCCAATTTGCCAGCACTAGAGACCAGCACTGAGTCCGTGATATGGAACCATTCCTCGGGGTGATCAGCCAGCAACCTGGTGGCAGGTTGATTACATTGGACCGCTTCCATCATGGAAAGAACAGCATTTTGTTCTTACTGGAATAGATATTTATTCTAGATACGGATTCGCCTTCCCTGCATGCAATGCTTCTGCCAAAACTACGATCCGTGGATTTACAGAATGTCTTATCCATCATCATGGTATCCCACACAGCATTGCTTTAGATCAAGGGACTCACTTCACAGCAAATTAAGTGTGGCAATGGGCCTATGCTCATGGAACTCACTGGTCTTATCACATTCCCCATCACCCTGAAGCAGCTGGCTTGATTGAATGATGGAATAGCCTACTGAAAAACCAAATGCAGTGCCAGCTAGGTGGCAATACCTTGAAGGGTTGGGGCAATGTTCTCCAGGAGGCTGTATATGCTCTAAACCAGCATCCGATATATGGTGCTGTCTCTCCAATAGCCAGGATTCACGGGTCCAGGAAACAAAGGGTGGAGACAGGAGTGGTACCACTCACTATTATCCCTAATGACCCTCTCAAAAAACTTCTGCTTCCTGTCCCTGTTACCCTATGCTCTGCAGGTCTGGCGATCTTAGTCCCAAAAGGAGGAACACTCCCACCTAGAGAGACAATACTGATTGCATTGAACTGGAAATTAAGAATGTCACTAGGCCATTTTGGCTTCCTTATGCCTCTGGATCAATAGACAAAGAAGGGCATTACTATACTATCTGGTGTGACAGATGCTGATTACTAAGGGGAAATTGGATTGACATTACATAATGGAGGTAAAAAAGATTATGTCTGGAATACAGGAGATTCTTTAGGACATCTCTTAGTACTACCATACCCTGTGATTAAAGTCAATGGAAAATTATAGCAACCCAATTCTGATATGACTGATAATGGCCCAGACCCTTCAGGAATGAAGGTTTGGGTCACCCTACCAGGCAAAGAACCACGACCGGTTGAGGTGCTTGCTGAGAGCAAGGGAAATACAGAATGGGTGGTGGAAGAAGGTAGCCCTGAATATCAGCTACAACACGTGACCAGCTGCAGAAATGAGGACTGTGATTGTTTTACTTCTTCATTGCATATGTACACCAAGTATTTTTGTTTCCTTCTGTTATGAACTGTGAAATATAAATAAGGTTAATTCATTTCAGTTGTATGCATGTTAGCGTATCACATTAGGCACAAATATGACTTTGTAACTGTCCTTAGAGATTATATATGGTTAAGAAGATGTGTACAACTGCCAAGTTGACAAGGGGTGAACTGTGATAGTTGGAGCTGTTTGTCAACTTGGCTGGACCACAATTCTGTGTGGTTTAAACAATTGTGAGGTGGGTTGTTCCGACGATGGGATCAGATATGTATGTTTTGAGCAGCCAATCCACTGAAAGGGAATTTCCCTAGAGGTGTGGCCTGCTTCCAATATATTTATGGACATCCTGGGAAAAGAGACATTCTTCTGTGGCTCGGGATTCTGTTGTGCTGCCTACAATAGTCCTTGAGCGAACAATCCACCATTCTGCCTGAAGATCTTGGATTCGTCATTCGTTGGAGTCAACAGCCAGTATATTGCCTGTCAACCTTGAGCTCCTCAACCCCTGAAGCTGTGTAAGTCGGGAAAAGCCTCCAGCTTGACGTTTGATCCAAAAACTTGGAACTTGACAGCTTCTATAAGTGTGTGAGGAGCTCTGGTAGCATAGTGCCTAAGGCACTTGACTCCTAACCAGAAGGCTAGTGGTTCAAATCCACCAGCCACCCTTCAGAAGGAAGGTTGGGCAATCTATTTCCATACTGATACTGCCTCGGCAACCCAAGGATGGGTCGCTATGAGTCGGAGCCAACTCGACTGCACATAACAACAAAACAATCACATAACAAAATGCAAGTCATTTTCCTAAGATAAATTTCTCTTTCTCTCTCCCTCTATGAGCTTTACTGGTTTTGCTTCTCTAGAGAACCCAGTCTAACACACACTCTTTGATGTGCATACATTCCATTTCTCAATACCTCTTTTTTAACCAAGTACTGAGAACTGGGAAGGGGTCTAAAGATTATAGCTAAGCTAGTGCTCATCATTTTCTGTTCTTAGACTACTTTGGTATAGTAAAAGAACACATGGGCCCAACTACTGTTCCACTAGCTACCAAAACAATTAAGGAAAAAAAAAAATCTTTCATCAAAATCAATGACAAGTCTGTGCTTTAAAAAAAGTGTCATGAAGGTATAATTTACATACTGTAAAATTCACTCTCTTAAATACGCAAGTCAATGATTTCTAAAGGTTTGGCTTCTAGTAAGACTTAGCCAATGAGTCTCTTAAAGGGTCTTCAACAAATCATAACTAAATTTTCACTAGCAACAACATTGTTAGTGTGTCCTTCTCAAAAACTTCTAAGTGCATAGGAAAGAAGGACATAGGGAGAAAGTAACCAAAGGAAGGAAGTGGGAAAGACAACTGTTACATTACAGGGATTATATAATCAACGTCATGAAACAAAATGTATATGAACTGTTATGGAAAATCAACATGCTCTGTAAACTTTCACCCAAATCATAAAAAAAAAAAAAAAACACTTTAAGCGATCAACCTAGACTTATCCTAAAAAATGCTTAAGGATCATCAATGACTGCAACGTGTGATTTGAGAACCACTGGCTTAAAGCATCCAGAAAAGATAGATAAATGTCTAAGAGTCTACCTTCACGCTAATACACTAAGGGCTTTTCAGAATAGTGGATTAGTCCTTTATGTCTGATCTGGAGCTCTGGTTGGCACTGTGATTAAGCATTGGGCTGCTAACTAAAAGGTTGGCGGTTCAAACCCACCAGACGCTCTGTAGGAGAACAATGAGGCAGCTTGCCTCCGTAAAGATTCACAGCCTTAGAAACCCTATGGGGCAGTTCTACCCTTTCCTGTAGGAGTGCCATGAATTGGAATTGACTCAATGGCAGTGGGTCTTCACATCTGATCTAAAGCACTCTGGTAGCACTGTGGTTAAAGCACTGGGCTACCAACCAAAAGGTCAGTGGTTCAAACCCACCACAGGAGAAAGATGAAGCAGTCTGCTTCCGTAAAGATTTATAGCCTTGGAAACTCTATGGAGCAGTTCCAATCTGTCTCATAGGGTTGCTGTTAGTTGGAATCAACTCGATGGCAGTGGTTTTTTTGTTTATGTCTGATTTACATTCTTCTGCCAAGGTCATAATTAACTTTCTTTGCTAATTTTTGGGGAAGAACATTTGGGTTCTTCAAAATTTGCTCAGGGAGTCAGACACACCTGCAAGTTGGTTGGGTCTTTATAATTCTCATCAGATGCAATCTGAAGTTTCTCCTGAATCCACTTCTCCAACTCCTCAGCATCTCTTTGGAAAAACTGGAATCGATAGGAATCTTCAAGCTTCTGGCGCCTGAGGGTTGAGAGCTCCTTGAAGCGGTGATACCGGTCTAGGACCTGCTGGCGTCTCTCCTGAATGTCTTCTGCTGTTTCCAGCACTTTGACCCCACTTGGGTCCATTTTCTGAAATGACAGAATGTCCTGAGATAAGCACCACAAGATACCAAAACAGATTCAACAGAATCAATCTTTCCGAAGGAAAGAGCAATTTTCAGATTGTCCCAGTAGACAAATGAATTGAATGGGTAGCTCCCGCCTAAGAATGTAACGATGAAACCCAGGTACTATTCCTTTACCAAGGCTATCCACTCCCACAACACTTACCTACAGGGGGATCCCCAGAGGATGACTAACCAGTATGACAATAAAACCAAGTGAAAAAAAAAATGAAGACTGGTTTATAATGTCAATTCTGCAGGGGCTTTGAGAATTCAAAGGAAACACCAATCTTAGTCAAAGAATTACTGACAAGTTCCTTCATCTAGTCTCTGCATTTGATTGTGTGGAAATGAGAATGGTGGGTTCAAACCGCAGACTTTTCAGTTAGCCGCCAAGCACCTAACCAATGCACCACCAAGGCTCCTTAGAAAGAATTTACTCTTCCTTAAATCAGATTTTTTTTCTATCTTTCTAGATCTCAGTGGGTTATTCAATAAAGAAAAGGAAATGATTATAAAATAATCAAATTCTTAATAATAACCAATAGAAGTTACCTAGACAAAGTAATTGATTTATTGGTAACCCCAAAACGTCACCCCTCCAAGTCTTCAGACTATCAAAGAGCCTGGACAATAGATAAACTTAGTTTCACCCAAAAGGGCACAATTTTAAAAAAAACCAAACCAAAGAGTATCTTAAAAAAAAAAACAAAACCTTGAGACAGATTTGCCTTACTTTATTCCTACCTGTTATTGTAGAAAGCAAGGAGTCTAAGTTCAGCATCAATTTCAAGTTAACACAAATGCAGGGTAACTGGGCAAGTGGTACTTCTCCACAGTACTTTAAACCCAGATTTTAATGTCAAAGAGAAAACCTCACCTAGCTATATAAGAAACCCAGAATAGATTTGTTGTTGTTGTTGTT